AAGTTTTTCGAATGTGCCGATATGCACCATCGACACGATACGGCATTAGTTTACCTTTGACAAGTACGAGTACTCTGGCAAATCTGCACATATTCGTATTGTCATTTAATAAGTCTTCTACATCGTACTGCATTTGTTCACGTTTGGCAAAAATTTGGCAAATGACAGTCGACAGAGTATCAGTCTTATACTTTTTAAACTCGTAAATGGCTTTGCGTCGTAAAGTATCCATAAAATCGGATAGCTACCTACCTATTGCATATATAACAACATTTTTAATTGATCAGAAATTACCGTTACATACTTTTACTCGCTAGTTACTTATGTAGAATAAATTGTTTACGATAAACAAACCAAAACTGTTATCTAACATTCCAATTATACTGAACAACACGTGAGCCATTTTTTATTAGTTCTTGACAACACGGTCTGACATTGGCATGTGCAAAGGTAATTTATTCGATTGCTGCGTTATTAGATTTTTAATTGAGGATGTGCAGAGGATAAATATGCATTATCTATTATGCAACGATAATTTATCCAGTTAAAATGTATATTTTCCGCAATTTCCTAGATTTTTTGCCTAATCATAATTTTATAATGATGGTTTTATTCGTATATCTGACTCAGAACGATGCTTTTTCCATTTTAAAATTTATTTCGTTGTAGAGAAGTGCACTTTCTGGATTAACAAACTTAGTGTCTAGTGAGTTTTCTTCATTTATTACATTATTGTATAAGGAATATATTAATTCGTACTTCTCGTAGTGTGATGAAGTTCCTATCAGACTAGAAGAAGTGGTAGATGATAAATTAATGAAATATTTCATTCAAAGGTCTATTTGTTTTGAGAATAAACGCTCAGTAGAAGGGGAATTTTAAGCAGATGCACTTTGTCTTTGGACGGTCATGACCCCTACTCGAAACATTGTTTTCACCACCTACTTCTTATAAATAATAACGAAGTGCTACTTCAGACAGCAATTCCTTGTCTTACGTATCGGGTAATTAATTTTAAATTTTATCATCTGTCTTCGCGATCAAATCCCAGTTAATACTTACCATATCATCGTCCTTGCGAGCTGAATTAATTATTATTTATGGTGTTAGCTTGGCCGGTTTTTTTTTTCGGTTTCGTCCGCTATAATTAATCTTGAAAGTCGTTTCTGTGCGAATTATCCGGCGAAAGAAAGTTCGATAATTGGCGGGGCAGCAACCAGACCTCCGATATACGATTAAAAAGTTGTAGGAACGGAAAAACTTAAAACCTTCTTGTCGAACTGGGTAGCTGGTAGTCGTAACGTCATAACTCTCGTTAAAATAAAGTCCTACGCTACGGCGGGACAATAAAATTAAAATTGCTAGCCGCAGAACGTGACGTATTGCTAATAAAAATGTTAACACGTGGAAAGGCCGGGGGAAATATAATTTTTATTGCAAAACGCTTTACTAGACTAGACATAATATGTTGCCGTATTTGTAAGTAAATCATTATCGGTATTACCTTTTTAATCCAACTGTAAGAAACTAATTGAGTGACAGAGCGAAACTACAATGGAAAATAATTTTGTAAAAATTACGTGTTATTTTAAAGTCACCATTTTTTTGACACCAATTCAAACGAAGCGCAAAATGTCAATAAATATTCGAGTGTTTTTACACAATTTAAGTAAGTTAAATAAGACCAGATCACTTGGTGTCATAAATGAATTGACCTCACTTTATACTATACTTTCGTCTGGTTTGTTTACCATTAAAGTGTAATGTAGATGCGTTCATATGCTATAGGATAAGATCGACAGGAAGTCTTAGTTTATACCGAATGAGTCGCCGCACATATTGATGAATTTCAACAGATTTTCCCAATAGGAAATCCTCACCACAATTAAATTTCTTTATCAGTTCTCGGATTTAATTCTTGAAACCGACAGCGTTACGGAATTATAAACATTGTTCAGCCCGTTTGTGTTGTCTCCCATTGTTTGGACGTAATGAAAAGGGAAGCCGTTGTTTACTAAAACGCTAATTCTGGATATGGTGCTGGTGTACTCGAGGGAAGTCACATTCACGCACTGCCTTTGTTTTATTTAACTTGAGGTTAGGTTGATAAGTGGAGACAAGCGTTACGATTAGGGGAGACCGGGGAACGGTGGTCCCGTTTTCTGTTAGCAATGGTTTATTGAAAATTTAAAAAAATTATCTGCTTTGCGGGGTATCATTAACAGGAACCTCCTTCTCACTGACGTTCTTCCATGTCTCCACGCTCTTCAATAAAGACATAAGTTTTGCAGGGACAAATTCCTGTTACTCGGAATACCTTTTTTTCTGGAACAACCCTTTACATGCATTGATAAAAAATTCTGCAACCTCAAACGGTGCAATGTTTTGATACGGGTGGTTCTTTAAGTATTTGCTATATTCTGATCTGTAGACAGTTTTCAGGGTGTCCATAGAAACTGACATTCAAAGTCTGGATCTTATGTTTATTCTTATTTCTTTAGCCCTCTTTTAAAGGCTACTTCTAGGAATTTCGAGGTTTCGAGACACTTCCTGACATTCCTTTCTGCTCTGTTGGCTGCCTTTAATCGATCGGCAGTCCAAGACACCTTTTCCGTTTGTCTACGATAATTTCTTGGCATCTGTTGCAAAAATTGTTAGTTTAAATGTTACCCTGTATATGCATTTGGGACAGTGGTGACTGGCCAGCATCATCCCCATTTGACAGGTCACCATAACCCCCCAAAGATCACTTTTTTGGCATTCATGAACAGAAAAACGTTATTTAAAAACATAGTTATGATCAAATTTTTCAATGTTGCGGGAATGTTTTGGTTTCACCAATATCATGGATTTATTTATTGTCTTCTATTTGTAGTATCCATGGGTAGATGGCGTCGCTAGTGCTGTGAGTCAAATAATAAGTGCCGCGAGAAAAATAATATGGCCATCATTCCTCCGGACTCCCCTATATTTTTTTAGCTTAGGTATTATTGAGTGACAAAATCTTCCGAACGAGCAAGTAGAATACTAGAAACCTACGAGCTCTCGAAGCGCAAAGAGTTGTAACTTCTTAGAATCAGTAATGGCTTTTTCCGTATTCGATTTAAAGGTAAATATCACATAAAAACGCTTTGTTAAAAGAAAAAATAATAGACAGTAGCTAACAACAGATAATTAGTGGCCCCTTTTAGGAATTTTTATAGGTATATTGACCTTTGTGGGATTTTCCTTTTAGCAGTATAATTAGATAAATAATTTTTGTAGCATATTTGCTTTTAAGTTCGGCTTTTTTTAAAACTTTGTTCAAATAATCCGCAATGTCTTAGTCTTTTAAATCCTTAAATGTAATTAGCTTTTTTCTTGTCATTTTTGGAAGGCTAATATTGAACTAATATTAATAAACACCCTGTATATATATATTTGAGTAGGGCTTTCTATTGTGGGAAAGTTTCTGAAAAAAAAAGGATTTTTTAAAAACAAATTTACTGAAAATCCATCAAATTCACCCGTAAAACTAATACATCTTTGCCCACCTCTTATGGTATGTAAATCTCGATATTTTCTCAGGTTGAATCCGAATTGAAGGGAGGAAAATCCTAATGCAATCATCATATAGAACACATTCCGAGCTCATCTTATCAACATCGTATATCTCCCGAGGGTTTCGAGCGTCAAAACGGGTCGGAGAAACTGAAAATTATACAGAAACTCTTCTCCCATGAATGGTTCAATCAGGGGCATTGAAATGTCTGGAAATTTTATTTTACGTAGGTCGGACAAGCAAGCGGTTCAGAAATTTGATATCCCAAATAGACCTTTTCAAATGTAGTCTTATATAGGGTGTTTATATTTTTATTATCGGGGTTCCGTAGTGTGGCGAAAATTGACACAACTGAGATCGGTTTTTTTTATCGGAGTATGGGCAGTGTAATAAAAATGTGTACACATAGTTCTTTGACATACTTTTTATACATAAATTGATAAAAAATCAAAAATGATGAAATACACAGTAATTTAAAAAATATATATACCGCTAGAAATATTCTAGTTCAATATTACTTATGTCAAATCATACCAAATTGTTGAAAAAATATTCTTATTTAAATGTTACTTATGCATGTCAAAGAATATCAAAATTGTTTAAAAAACTGAATTCAGCACTTTATACAAGAAATTTCTTATTCGGTATATGTATGTATAGTTATTTTTAACCATATTAATCCAAATCCTAGCGCTAGTTTACATTATATGACATTTTATGAAACATGCAGACCGATGATTGATTTATGTTCTGCTGGTGATATTTTTGGTAGAAACAGAAGAAAGTGTTACAGACAATGCCAGATTTTCATCCTGGCCTTGCCTCTGCCTCTATCCGAGTGCCGTATATCAAAAACAGTTTATTCTATAACATGTTTTTATCGATACAGATGTCGCGCTGCTCTGAAATACGACTTATTTAGCTGCTATCCGAACATTAATGCAGGCACTGGAGCGTTAATTTCGAAAACGAAATAAATATAACGATATATAAGTAGCTGAAGTATGTCTTTATAAATATTTATCCCGGGAGATTTATATAGAATACTAACAGCATTTGAGTTATATCGACAAGAACATATTTCTTTGCTGGGTATCGGTAACATTTCACTCTCGATTTACACCTTTATAAATTCCAGAGGAATTGGCCGTTTGCTGGGAACCAGGAAACCACGTAGCATTTTAATAAAAAGAACGGCCGTGATGGAATGGATGAGGCGAACAAGGTGAAACAAAATTTTATCGCCTTTGTGTACCTCTCGGAGAGAAATTGCGGAATGTTATCCAAAAGTTGCAATTTTACAGATATACCTGTACTTCACAACAATGTTATACGTTTTTCAAACAATACTCAACAAAAAGTATTTCAAAATATCCGCTTTGTATTCAAAAAATGTAAATTGTATACAAAAAATCATTTGAAACATAGCTTATCTTAACATATACTTTTTTTGTTACAGGAAGGTAAGAATCATCAAATTTCTGGACATGTGGTAAGGTCATTTATTTTACATCACATATTATTAATTTGACATTAGGAAAACTGTCAATAACTGTCATCAATTTAATTTCAAAACGCATTTGCATTAAAATTTTAATTTTTCAACGATTTCCGAGTTGGTTAAAAAACAAAACATATACACTTTTTTTCTTATTGTAGTTGTGGCCTTGTCCACAATTTCGTATTTTTTATATATTAATCTAGAAATATGCACCATTTATCACTTTCGCAACTATTGTCTTTCAATATTATATTCTTTGTTAAACTTTGTGTTAATAATTTGCAACCCATATTGTGTGGTCATAATTTATATTTTTAAACTAAGCTTGCGATATCAAACACTTGCACAATTGTTTAAAACTTAGAAATATTTGATGCCCTGAATAATATGTAATTGCCAAATCTTAGTTCTTAAAAAGTTCACTTGATTAATTAATAATAGTCATTTTTAAGTCGTGCATAAAAGTAGAATTTCAGATGCGTCCAGCCAGGCAATTTCTTTCAGTGAAATTCTATTAAGATATATAAACATAAAATACTTACAAATAAAGTCAATGAATAGCATAATCATCTTTTTTGTTTATAATGTTATCAAATTCTTCAAAATAGAAGTACTAATAAGTGGAAAATTGTGCTCTGAAAATTGATACTTTAAATCGAGAATTCATACTTTAATCTCAGATTTTCGACTTTGAACTCAGAATACTACTTTAAAGAGGGAATTCTAACTTTTAACTAGAATTTCCGACTTTAAATGGGGAACCCTGTTGGAGATTTGACGCTGGTAATTATCGTATGAAAAAATAATTAAATCTTCTGAAATAAAAGTACCAATCAGTGGAAAACTGTGCTCTGGGAATTCATACTTTAAACTGAAAATGCATACTTTAAACTTACATCTTCGACTTTGAACTCGAAAATCTAATTTTAATTCGGAATTTTAATTTTTAACTCGAGATTCCAACTTTAAATGGGTAACCCTATTCCAAGTTTGGTTTCTAATTGATTAAGTAGATAATTAAATACTTCAAAATAAACTATCAGTAAGTGGAAAACTCTCAGGGAATTCATACTTTAAACTGGGAATTCATACTTTAATCTGTGAATTAATACTTAATCTGGGAATTCATACTTTAAACTCGGATTTTCGACTTGGAGCTCGTTATTTTGTTCTTAAATTGGAAATTGTAACTTATCTGGGAAATTCGACTTTAAATGAGAAGCCCTATCACAAGTTTAGCACGAAAATTAGCATATTCATATAGGAAAATAGTTCAATCCCCAGAAATAAAAATATCAGTAACTAAAAAACCGTGCTCAGGGAATCCATACTTTAAACTGGGAATTGATAATTTAAACTGGGAATTGATACTTTAAGCTGGGAATTGATACTTTAAACTGGGAATTGGTACTTTAAACTGGGAATTCATACTTTAAACTCAGATTTTTGACTTTAAATTCGGAATTCTAACTTTCAACTCAGAATTACGACATTAAATGGGAAACCCTTTTGGCACTCGCAATGAAAAAGTAATTAAATTCTCGGAAACAGAGGTGTCAGTAAGCGGAAAACCGTGCTCCGAAGCGCTGGCCTCCCCCTGTATGAGGCACACTAATACAATTCCTTTCGGCTCTCCGCTAAAAAGTGTGTTCAACCAGCAACGCTTCTCTCCGACGGCGTGCCACTTACGGCTAACCTCTTTCCGACGGCTAGAAGTAGAACCGCGATAAACAAACGAAACGTCGATAAGGCGAATTCAATTTCGGACGTGAATCAAGGCCTATCAAGTGACCCACGACCCGGGGCGATTAACTTCGAGCCGGGCAGATAGAATGAGATTATGCAAGCTAATTACTGTTATTAAACGATTGCCGGAGTCGCGGTCTGGAGGAGTACCACCGGAGAACGGCGCAGATTCTTTCCGGTCCGCGTGCACTTGGCGTTCTCTCGAGAGCCAAAGAAGTAGGAAGATAGGGAAGGAGGAAGTGACACATTACTTAGGTTAGTGTCACTGAACGATGTACATAAATCGTCATCATAATTTCAAGTCAGCGAAACTCTAGATAATACGTATACAGTATAATAAGTATAAGTGATTACTGTAATTTTTCCATATTTATGCTAAGATTGTGGTCCTGGCTTACTGAAAGAGATGCAAGCATAGATCACGTCTGGGTTCTGTTTCTCACCTAGAGATTCTCAAGAAATATATCAAGATTAGATTAGAAATTAAAACTGAAATTTCACTCATTTTTATGCGCTATCAAGCAGGTAGATGTTACAACCAACCAGTCGGTAAGAATACCCTTTCTATGATTCCTAATAAGATTGCACAATTTTTGAAACTAGAACATCCTGAAACATATACAGGCCATTCATTCCGAAGAACATCGGCAACGTTACTGGCTAATACAGGAGTTGATGTATTATCAAAGATGATGAGGTGGGTGGAAATCAGCCACAATTGCAGAATGTTATGTTGATGAGCGTGTAAGTAACAAAAATGAAATAGCCAACAGGATTCTTTACAATGACACTTCAACAGTTCAACTCCAGGTTCTAATAGTACGTCGCATCATGCTGTTTTAATGGAATGAAATGGAGCGGTCAATTAGTAAACGCGAAGGGAATAATTATCCAGATTTTATAAATGTTACTAAGTGTAATAACTGTACAATTACTATAAATATTCATTAATAATAATTAATAAAATGTAATGTTCATCAAATATTTCTATTTATTTGTTCATAAAATTTACAACTCGAAATCGCTTTTTCCCTAGGGAGATAAGTTCCCTCACTTACATCCCTTTGTCCACTTCTACGGTAAAATCCACTTACCTCCTTAAAAATAATGTATTAATAGTCAATTGACTATAGTGGGAGCAGATAAAATACTTAATTCACTAATTATTTCTTCTTCCTGAAATTTACGCAAAAATTGATGAAAATTATAACTAATTTATTAATAACTTAATGAAAAATCATGAATCTAGCGATAATAATTATATGAATTATCACAGGTCCTTTTTTCAAAATTTGAGCAACATATTTGCTTAAGTCCGCCATTAATTGAACATATTTTCATGTTTCCAGTTTTGACATATTTGGATTGTACCAGTAATTCAAGATGTATTATATGTAAGTAATATTGATAGCTTAGATATAAATTTCCTTATAAGCATTTCGTTGACATTTAATATTTCCCTATAGACTTTATAAATTGAACCAAGAGGATGTATCTTCCCTTCCATTAAAAAATATGATACTCATCTCTAGGTATAGATATATTACAGTTAAACTGATTATGACGACACATACATTTAAAGGTTAAATAATATTGACCGCAAACTCAAAAGTTCGAAAAGTTAATACTTTAAAATATTTGGAATGTCAAAGGTTGAACCTATAATAAATCGCTTCGATGCTTTCAATTATTTTGGGATGAAATTTTCTCCTCCGATTAAAATTCAATTAACTAACCAAACAATTAAATTGTTGCTATATTTATACATGGGGTTTATTAAGTACTTATTTTTATAGACCAGAGATCATTTGGAAATGGGATCGACTTGATTCGAGTCCTTACCACAAGAATCTCTTACTGCTTATCAAACTTTAACCGAATCAACCGGAGATAAATGCAAGATAAATAATAAAATAGACACCAGTCAGCAGCCCGCTGAACGACCCCGAGATACTCGATTTCGTTCCCTGTCACCAGCAAAAAAAAATCCTTTCCGCAAATTCGGCTAGCGAGTGAAATTTTAAGGATGCTATCCTTCGAAAGTGATGTAAATTTAAACCCGTCGGTTCCACGTTTGTGCGTTGTCAGGGCCCTTTACAGGTCGTTACCCCACGACAAAGTGAGGGTTCGGAAGAATTTTTGGGTTAGGGGACCCACGTTTATATAAGCGTCAGAGTTGGGGTAATTGGTAACGGAAATAGATCGGCTTTAAATAAATAGTATCCCTAAACGAACTAATGGAGATACCTGCGTTTTATTATTTTTTCATGTGTAGTACCAGGGGTTGGATTTTTTATGGATATGCTAGGAGCGCAACTTACAATTACATTATTTCTTTTATGGATCTTTTGTCCCTGTAGAAATCTATAGAAAATCTGTATTATTATTATTTAGTCATTGTCCTGTACATTCCTGCCGTAACTGTAAGTATTAACTAAAAGAATGCTGAAAATCATCTCCCAAAAAAAAAGAAAGAAAATCTTGCTTCTACACCTACAATAACAGCTAATAGTCCCTACAAGAATGACATTGAAGAAAAACAACGTTAAAAACTATTCCCTTGTAAAACTGTGAAAAATGTATTTGCTTCTTCAATACCGACCCCTAGAGGCAAGTCAACAACGTACCAAAAGAATGTTGCTCAAAAAGAGCGAATTTTGGGGCAGGATTGGTCCAGTGGGACAGCATCTGAAGATGAAGAGTGTCTATGTATTGTCAATTTATCTTCGTTTTTATAATCTGATGTGTGAAAGAAGAATGAATTCGTTGTCTTTTGAGTAAATAATCGACGCACTTGGAATGTAGCAACTTTATAAACTTCATTATTAGAATACTAGTCCAAAATCGCAAAATATTGATGATGGATGATAACATTTGCACTGTTATTTCATCTTTGGTATGTGTGTATATGTGTGTATGTCTATATTTGATTTGTATTTAGGCACTACTTAATTGTTTCTAAAATTATTATTTGCTTGCTCTGTAAATGGTTTATAACTGTTGGGCAATAAAGATTATTATTATTATTATTATTATTATTATTATTATTATTATTATAATATTTCTGCATGTACAGTTACTTGGGTTATGTCAAAAAGCAGCAACTATAGACAATGAATTTCATTAAAATTGGAAAAAACTAAAATTTGTTGCGTTATAACACCATATTTTAAGTTCATGGATGAAACACCATGTACAAATAATCGTAAATGACAG